TAGTAACAAGTGCATCGCTACTAGTAACAAGGGGATCGCTACTAGTAACAAGGGCATCGCTACTAGTAGCTGTATATTTGTGAAACCTTCGACTGAACCGGAAGGTCTCCAGTCGGGACAGAGTCTACTGTGGAACCACACCAACAGGGATTTGGTCAATTTTCTCGCCACTCCCGCATCCCACTATCGGCCACCGACTCCGCATCTGCCCAGTCCTTTCCAAACACCGACTTGCCGGTGTCCGGGGCCTCAGTCACAGAGTTGTTGCTAAAAGGGCCCCTTTGGCTGCGCGAAATGCCTCAGCATAGACTGGTCCCTTACCTTCTAGTTACCCGTACTCTGTTTGTTGTCAGCAAGTTGTGTTCAACTTGGCGTTTCCGTCTCGGTGTTTGCTTGAGTGCTTTGAGAAAGCAGACATGTAATCATTGTCTTTATCTAGAGTACAAATAAGAGACTTGCAATATGTTCTGCAAGAGCCAATGGCACAAGTTTGCTATGACCTTGGATGAAGTAGAATAGACATCACTACTTCCGTGCTCAGGTATGAGTGAGAAGATCTGTGTCATTTTGATCAGATTATGGGCTTCACAGAAACCCATTAGGTATGCTTGTATGAGACCCAAGAAAAGGAAGATTGTGACCCCCGGTAGCAAGCCAACGTCTAGTTAATCTGGTTGAATACTAGCCACTTGTGGGTACAGAATCACATTCAAAGATTTTTATTGGAGATGATGTGGACAAGTTGCAGCTTGCGATTCCTTTGCGGCATTGGCATCTTTGCGTCTGGCAAAAGAGACCCGCTGTGTGGTCGGTTCTGGGCCGGATGGGGTAATATATTGCATTAAGTTCAGTTTAGTGTAACATAGGCTCCGTAGTGTAACATACGATGATATGTTGAGACTGACGCAGCTGTGCTTTTTGGTCAAGGAGCAACTTCACCCCCCTCTGTGTCCTCAGAGGGGGAGTAACCTGAAGAGGAGAAAAACATGTGGATGTGGTACGATGCCCATCATGAAAAGTGGTATGGGGCCAAATACCCCAAAGGAACCCTCATTGAGGCGGCAGTGACCGATGATGATGGAGCCCCTCAAGGTACCGTGATCCTGAAGATGTCTGGGAAAGTGGAAATGGGACCACTTGGAATCTTGGTGAGGGCCATTGCCACCCATGTCACGGCCTCCGATTCCCACTACCAGTGGTGGGGCGGTGGGTGAAGGATGGCGAAGGGCAATTCCTTCAGAAGGAGGCCTTTTACCACTTCTGTGATGGTCCGCCATCCGGTTGTGAGTACAAACGGCCACGGTCCAGGGTCGTACATTTGGGCAAGATCAGGTTTATCACGGACTTGGCTTCCAAGGTCATGGAGCCCGAGAAGACTTTGAAAGCGGCTGAGGAGGCCTTGGCAAAGCAGAAGGTCAGGAAGAAGAAGGGAAAGACCAAGAAGGGAAAGAAGACTGGGAAGATACCCAAGGGCAAGATGGTCAAACATGGGCTTAGTGAGGACGATGACGTCGTGGCCAAGAAGGGGAAGAAGAAGAAGGAAAAGGAGGAGGCAAGCGGTCCAAGGCAAGAGGTGGAGCCTCATCAGACGACCCTACAAGGAGTCCAAGAAGAAGGCAGATGATGGGAAAGACTCGGAAGCAGAGGGCCAGAAGCTTTTCCAAGCAGCTGTCCAAGCGGCCGGAAGCGCTAAAGACAAGAAGGGTCACGCTGACCGTGGTCCATTCAGAGGAGGAAGGGAAATCCGGCGCGATGGGGTTGAGTCCACTCCGAGAGCGGGTCAGTTTTTCGGGATGCCTCCTCGCGGTCGAAGAAAAACAATCAGCTGAGTCTGATTCGGTACAGCCAAGAACATGCAGGGCGCCTCGCGTCGAGACTCCTGCTCCGCATGCAGATGGAGGTGCCCCCGGACCCGGGGAGGCGATCAAGAAGCCTTCGACAAAAACGCCAGCAGTGGCAACTTAATACCTCCATGCAATCCTCCTCCCACACTTGGGTCAGAGAGCATCGATTTGCTCAGTGAGGGAACTGCGAATGCTGTCCCTCGTGATGGGTTACCGGATTACCTGGCTCAGGGATTGCCGGCCCAAGCGGCAGACGTGATTAGCCAGAGATTGTATATTATATTGTACTATATGTTTGCATTGTTTTTTGTTATTTTGTATTATATAAAAAATATATATATAAATGTATATGTCTCTCGTCTTTGAAGTGGCTTGGTTTGATAAAAAGATTGCGAGCGGATTGTTTTTCTGTCGCACGTCTTGCTGCCCAGATGGCAAACATCGCTTGCATGTATTATCGGATCATCTCCAACTGTTGACAATAATTACCTGCACGATGCGCCCAGATGCTTATGTTAGCAGCCCAGACTATACACTTGGTCCTTTTTTGTAGATACTTCTTTCGATTGAGTGTGAGCACATCTTGCAGAATACCCCCATGTGGTTGGCTGACCCGTTTGGCTGACCTCAGAGTCGCAGGTGATGTGGGATGAACCAAGTCAAAGCTACTACTTCCACAACCAGGACAGTGAAGAAGATGGAAAAAATGTTGTACTTGTTGTTAGGGGTAGGCCGCTAGTAGAGGTGAGGTAGGTTGTAGCTAGAGGAAGGTAGCCAATAGAAGCAAACGCTAGCTACTACCTACAAGTAGCTACTACTTAGGGCGCAGGATAGTTCACGTTTCTTCAAGGAAGTTCCCTCCGCCCCCTTAAAGGCGGCGGGGGGGAGCTTCCTTGAAGAAGTGCTCGCACTAATGATTTGGTTCCTAGATTTTTAGGGAAACTTAACGTACGCAAAGCATGGTATAGCAACTAGCAGAGATTTTTGTGTGCCGCAAGTGCAGCAGACTACATGTCAATGACCGAGAATACCAGGCAACAAGCCCCTTGAGGCACTTTGGATTTGCTAGAGGAAAACGATATGTTTACACTCTAAACATCTCCAAGCTGATGGAGATCGTAGGATACAGAAAACTATGATTATTGAAGGCACACAAAACGTATTCTCCAGCTCCAGGAGACAGAAGCATCACAGTGGGAGATGCCGCGTGCCACAATGAGATCATCCAAACAAGAAATTATGTCCATCCTTTTAATAGGAAACACGATGAAATGAAACATTTTGATTCTGCTTATCCTGCTGTCGTATAGCTTTTGTGGCTGCCCCTTGCCACTGTGCTTTGCGCCGTGATTCAATGGGATCGTGTCCTATCAATGGCTTTGTTCCTGGTTTCAGTACGGGGGAAGAACAATCGACATCCGTTGCAATTTGAAACGAAGAAAAGATATGATAGATATGAAAAGATAAGAAAAGTGAAGTCTGTTTCAGTTTGCTTGATGAATCGAACCTAATTCGACACGCCCAGAGTATCCAAGATGCCTTCAGAGGTACCGCCGGAGCATGGCAAGTGCATTGGTCCGAGGACAGGAGTCGGCATGGCTGCGCTGGGTCGAACTCGAGTGTTTGGCGAGAGCTTTTCAACATATGTGCGTTAGGCCATCGCTCTTAGGTTGGAGGCCGTTGTTGTGCCTTTGCTTTTCCAACTGAAGAAGCTGCTTCCGACTGAGTGTCCGAAGAAGTGAATGCATGTGTTGTTTCTGTGTCCATCAAATCCTGCCAAAAAGGATCCCCAAGTGTCCACCACACACCTTATTGCAATTTGAACTTTGCAGGCGTTCGAATCAATTGAGCAAGAAAGAACAGGCGACAAGGAGACCTTCTGAATGAATCAAGTCTAGCTTTTTGTTGCTGGCCTTGATGCCCTCAGGAGCACCAGGCGTGGTTCTTTGTGCACGGGCACGAGGGCCCAGCTTGTTTGTGCAGCGCTGCATTCAGAACTTGTAAACATGTCTAGGTTGAGTTTGCTTCAGGTCACTGACATGGGTTGAATGGGCTCTCATGGGTGTTCGAAAGTGCGAACTCACCGCAGACAGTGCATGATCAAAATGCTTCCTTGCTACTAGTAGCTTCTTGTTACTACTAGTAAGGCACTTGTTACTAGAAGCGATGCATTTGTTCCTAATAGCTTCTTGCTCCTAGTAGTAAGGCCAGGAGCCCCTAGTAGCGTCCTTGCTCCTAGTAGCGATGCCCTTTCTCCTAATAGCTTCTTGCTCTCAGTAGTAGCGTCCTTGCTACTTGGTTATTTAGCCCGCTCGGCCCTGCCTCGGTCAAGTCGTCTTGTCTCCGAAAAAGTCGTCCTTTTGCAGCGTGCCCTTGCGGGATCGCATGTTTCTAGATGTTCGTTCTATATCTTCAATATATGTTCTAGATGTTAATTTTTTGACGCGACATTTTTTGGCGAAAGTTCCGCGAAAGCATAGGCGAATGTGAACGCCTGTTTTGTGGACCCCTGCCCAAGGGACAGGGTTTGTCTGTACACGCAGAATCCGGATCGTGTGTACCCGCAGTGCCTGTCCTGGATCATTTGTGCACGCAAATTATCGCTGCTATTTTTGATCATGATGAAATGACCACCTAGGAAGAGACCGGGTAGTTTGTTTGGATGCATAACAGATCCCTTAGGCTGTTATGTAAAGCCACTGAACCAAGAAGATGTCTGGAGGATATACCCCCCACGAAAGATAAACATGGAGTTCGCGAAAGATTCGCGCCAATATGATTTAAAAAGTACTCCTTGTGATAGCGTGCCCTTGGTGTTTTAGATGTTGCTCGGGGACATGATCCACACACGCAGCGCTCTCACCGACACTTTCTCCTGTTGCCAAATTGTACCCTTTGGCTTGAATGAAACGCAGTTTTCTCCACTATGATCATGTGTTTCTTCCTGTTCCTTTTCATCCACTCAAGCAATCCCTTGACATAGAAAAAGGTTTGTGTTGCTCACAAGGCTACAGCACCTTTGCTTTTGAAGTTTCAAGTAGGACCAGGGTCAAGCGGACCTCGCGCAAAGGTCACGCGGAGGTCCCAGAGCCTCGCGCGCGGGACGAGCAGAATGAACCATACTACAATGTTTGTGTTTCTCACCTTTTCGGTCCTAACGATTTTTTCCCCAAACAGGTTTACCTGCACGGGGTTCTTACTCTGTTTAAAGGGTTGCTTGCCTGGGCCAGGTGATTTTGGCTTTGTCTCCGGGTTTGCGGTCCTCGGCCGATGTTTGCTTTGCCTACTCATACTCTGGATGCACTTGGCCGGATGTTGTTACACTTGTCTCCTTCTCTCTTTGCTTGTCTCCCATGTTGTTACACTTGTCTCCCACTTGTCTCGGCCTACTCTGGATACACAGTTTGCCCCAAAAATGCACTAACTGCTTGGGGTCTATGCTTGTCTCAGTCTAAGCTTCCATGCGTAAAATGAGTCCGCAGCAACACGAACCTCAAGTAATTAACTCCATCCGGTGTGCCTTTAGCTCGACGCAGCGCTGGGATTGAGAATGCTGATGGAGGGTGTGCCATTGTGTTTCTGGGTTGAAGCTATTCCCAAACCATCGATGGTGAAAGAGGGCGTGCCATGGTGCTTATGTAGCAGAATAACATGTATTTTTGCCAAATATGTTTTTTTTTGGGGGGTGTTCACGAGGTTTGTTGCTTTGATGGCTGCGAAGTGTTGCTGGACATAGTGTGCCCATGGAGTTTTGGAGTTGAACGGTGTGACTTTTTCCGATTGGGCTCACTTTTCCCCGAATGAGCGCAAAGGGGATTTTAGAGATGCACTTGTTCCTAGTAGCTTCTTGTTACTATATAGTAAGGCCCTTGCTCCTAGTAGCGATGCACTTGTTCCTAGTGCCCAAAGGGGGAAGGGTGATTGTTTTTTGCCAACGGGTGACTTAATGCAGCCGCCTAGTAGTGGACGCAGGATAATTCAAGTTTCTTCAAGAGCTTCCTTGGAGAAGTGTTCGCACTATTGATTTGGTTCCTAGATTTTAAGGAAAACTTGACCATCCTAGGCAGGTCAAAGATATGACTCTGAGGTTTTCCGGGCATGCTCAATGGGAGGCTCCCAAGTGCCCGGAACCTCGATTTGGCCAACAACGGACTCAGGACAGGATGTTGCGGGAGAGCATGCAAAACTGAATCAAAAGGCGAGCGACATAGAGAAGAAACGAGGTAAAGGCCCCTTGAACAAGGTAAAGGCCCTTTTTTAATTGAGAGAGCCTTTGTTTCCATTGCAAAGAGTCCAAAGATGTACCTTCTTCAAAACAGTCCTTTCAAAGCGCAACAGGACCACGAAATCTGTGAGACTTGCTCACCTACTGAATTTATATAGTTTCCAATTTGACTGCGACTGACTGGACACGCTTAGAAACCTCCGGCAGCAGAACACCTGTCAAAAGAAAAACTTGGGACTAGGTTCACTTAGTGTGCTTGAGGTCTGGCGGACCTGGGCTGGAGCTGGGCCTATGGTAACCCAGAGATGTGCGAAGCTTGGACGCGCCCATGCTGCTCCATGCCACATTGCTCCTACAATACAGTATGCTACTAGTTCCTTTCACTCCAACAACGCTTCAATTTTAAGTAGCCACCCAAAGCTGGCCAAGTCGTGTTCCTAATCACAGTGAACCTATCTCCAGCCCATTTGGCATGCCTAGGCAACAGCTTTAGGTTTTCTGAGGCTCGAAAGAAGCGGGCGGCTTTTACGGTTTATGCGTGTATTATTTTGCTTCTGAGCTGCAAAGTTTGCCGCACCCACAATGAGGGGACTTAGGCAATTCGGAAGGTACTGACACTGAAGGTAAAATGCTCAGATATGCTTACATAAGACTACCATTCTGCTTTAGCACTGGCTGGTTCTGTGATTGATTTAATTCATGTTGTTTGCTCCATTGACTTGCTGTGTGGTGTGCAACTGTTCCGTCAACATTGATTCTGTGTGCTTTCTTGCAGTACTGAGTGCTCGTGCAGCAATGTGCTCATGGTGCCAAAGCGTCTGTATTGACATGTTCATCTCCATAAACCCTTTTCCTGCAGTACTTGCACATGTGACATTCAGGTCTTCCGTATTATTCGTTTGAGTCCCTAGTTGCTGGCCTTTCTTGACACCCCCAAAACTTCGGTCATGGAAGTTCTCAAGTGGCACAGCCAAAATCAAGCGAGAAACTCCTCAAGCACTCAACACATCTCGGCACATGGTTCTAGGCCACACACTGTGAAGACTCTTCGTGGGAGAACGCAACTAGGTACAATCAAAGGCCCAGTAGACAGCTTGTCAACAGTCGAAACAGCCAGGTACGTTTTTACAGGAAACATGCAGCGTCTTCGTCCATGCAGAGTCTTCGTCCATGCAGAGGTGAAAACGAGGATATTATTATGATATGTTTCAAGAGATTGTTTGCATCATGCACACAAAACATCTGTGAACAGCTGGGTGGCCACCTTTAGTTTGGCTTGAGAAAGAGCGCATTCTTCCCATAGGTTCCTAGTCGGCTGCCGTTCGCAAACCAGCAACGAACCGTCTCGCAACCCGCATCGGTGGTCATCCGGTACCAGAGGTAGGTGTTTGCGTGTGTGGCACTTGCGAGGCGAATCGGCAATGCGAACTGAGTCACAGCCACAACAGATCAAGACGAGCCTTTTTTCCGTTGTTTTGGATCAAGGGTTGAAAAGAGAGCATCGCTTGCTCACAACAGCCTCTTGCAGCTGGGCCACTTGGCATTGACATTTCTTGGAGGTTGAGTCTCGTGCCCAACTCTATGTTTTTCTGGCACGCTTGTCTTGAGATCGCTACTAGGTTGGAGGCCATCGCTCTTAGGCTTTAGGCCATTGCTCTTAGGTTTTAGGCCATTGCGCTTAGGTTGGAGGCTATCGCTTTTTACACATCGCTTTTCTTGAGGTGGAGGGGAGCTCATGGCAACCGCATCGCCATGAGCTCAAAAGTGACGCTCGTACTGCGTCGGACTCCGTCGGACTCTGACTGTCGACTCCTGAGGATGGGAAGGGCATTGGAAGGCCTCTACGGAGATGAGATGATATGCATGTGGAAGGCAGAAGTGACAGCTTGCGGCTTCAAAAGTTGTGGTTCTTGCATGCGCTTGCTGGCTAAGCACGTGTCAAATCGACGCTTCGTGAGATCATGTGTTATTCTCGGCAAATGGTTGGGCTGTCAGCAAAGAATTTGTGTGGATGATTGTGGATGCATCCATGCAGGAAGATCGCGATTGCTTTGAGAATCAAGGCCATGTCGCCAACAGAGGTTGTCCCAAATTGTTTCTTTAACTAGAAATTCACGGTCCAATCGCTTGTCGATTGTGGTTCAGGATTCTCGTTTTCCAGGGGTTTTGTGGTCCTTGGAGGTTTTTACTTTGTCATTTTTGTCTCATGCTGTTCTGCAACTCTCCTGGGCCGTTCGGTTGTGTGTGTGTTCTTCAAGATTGTCTTGGATCGGATTGCAATGGCCTCTAACCTAAGAGCGAAGGCCTCCAACCTACTAGCAATGGCCTCCAACCTGCTAGAGGAGTCCAACCTACTAGTGATGGCTTCCAAGCTACTAGCGATGGCCTCCAACCTAATAGGGATGGCCTCCAACCTACT